CGAAGTCACGATAGAGTAAAGTAATTCCAAAAGTATAGTCAAATAAAGTTGTAACTCGCGTATCAACGATTTATATTGTTAAGACTCTGATTTCGCCGATGATGGTTTGGCTAGTCAGTGAATGACACAGTATTTATATCCCTCGCTTATGTCTCGAGGACCCAGTCTACTAATAATACAGAATACACTCGGGGCACGCCCGAGACCCTGAAAAACAACCAAGAACATTTAACTCCTAAATCCGTAACCCAAACTCCTAAATCCGCTGAAACCCCTCAACCTATTTATCCACTCTAATGCACGTTTCCCTGTCGATGTTTCTTCTCCATCGGCCGTCTGGTGGATAATCGTCAGCGTCGGCTATTCGGAGGTCTCGGACGGCAAGGCTACCTACTCAGGCCTCTTCCCACATCGCTTTCCCACATAGCAGAGTTCTCTCATGCCCACAGGTACCGCCGATAGGTACTCGGTCGGCTGGCAGCTTGCGCCGATTCGCTCCGAGCGGTCCGATCTTTGATCCGATTGATTCCAGCTGTCCCTCATATATCCACCGGTACCAAAACACTCCCCTCCGGGGGTTTGACGCTCCGGGGGTTATTATTGGGGTCGAAAACGTGTTTTTAACTAGGAAAACCGCAACTCCGCATTTGGTCGCATATTGATCGCACCGCACCTCGTGGGTGCGAACCGGAGTTGATAGTGGTATTGCCATTAGTATTAAAGGGTATTGGGGTATCTACCAGCCTTTCTCTTAATCCCGTAAATGCTTGGCATGCCCGTAACAGTACTCATACACCAGACAGTTGAAATGGCTCCGTTACACCACTCCCCTCTTCCAGGATCTTGGTCTCCGAGATCTATAACCATTCTATTACCATCCAATCTATATGACAAGAAACTCCGTGATATGCAAGGAAATGAAAACCCAAAAGGAAATAATCTACACCCCAACAATCCGCTTGTCCTTGGGTTTCTTAGGATACCTCATATGGAAATCCCGAAGGGCTTCTTCAGCACTCTTCTTGAGATGCTCCCAAGGTTCCCATGTAGCATCCTCGTTTTCATAACCTTCCCACAGCACTAGGTATTCCAATCGTCTCCTTTTCTTATTGACCCGGCTATCAGCTACCTCTCGGACAACCCAGTTCTGTTCTCCTTCAATCTCTTCGGGCTCCGATACAGGAACTCTTCTCTCAGGATCTACCGCTGCTCGGTAAGGTTCCAGAAGAGAGACATGAAAGACCGGATGGATTCCCATTTGGGGGGGAAGAGAGAGCTTGTAGGCACGAGTACCAATAGCTTCTAAGACCTTAAAGGGTCCCATCTTCTTCTGATCCAGTTTTCCCAAAGGCCGCTTTATTTGCACATTGCGCCGGTCCAACATGACTTCATCTCCGGGCTTGATTTCAGGCGGTGCCAGGGCATGAGCATCATACCACCGGGCCATCCTTAATCTAGCTTTACCCAAGCTGGCATTCATAGCCTGCCAGATAGATTCCCATTGAGATATCATGACCTCGCTCGCTGGATTGTTCCATTCTACTCCTTCCCTTGGGGCCGGCCAGTTGGTCCTGGGTTCATATCCATAGTTGGCATAAAAAGCCGATACTTTGGTGGACTCAGAGACCGCCGAGTTATATGCATACTCTGCCAAAGGCAAGAGTTCTGCCCAGTCATCCTGTTGATATGAACAATAGCTCCGCAAGTAATGTTCCAGGGTCTGGTTAACTCTTTTTGTTTGACCGTCCGTTTGTGGGTGGAAAGATGTGGACATCTTCAGCTTCACATTGAGGAGACTCATGAGAGATTGCCAAAAGTGAGAAATAAACCTGCTGTCTCTGTCCGAGACTATGTCATCAGGTGAACCATGGAGTCTCCAAACTTCCTTCAAGAACAACTTAGCCAAATCTTCCATTTTATTGAGGGTGTAACGGAGCCATTTCAACTGTCTGGTGTATGAGTACACACAGGGCCCGGTTACATGCTGAGAGCTATTGTTAGAAGCCAGTTGCACGGTGATATGCAAGTACCGGCAGTGTGGTTAGCTACCAGCTGTTAGAGTAACTACATTCCGGGCGCTAGGAAGAGGATCTATTCATGGGAGCAATGACTGACGAGTCTATGCCTCGCCAGTGACTAGAAGACCGGCCAGAGTGAAGCTCTGATTGACCGGTGATCCTCTGTATCCTCGGTGCATTGTAAGTCCGCCGAAGGGCAGGGACTATGCTAGGGAAGTCTACAATAAGCGAAAGCTCTACAGCAATGATTAAGCTTACACCTGAGCGGCAGCTCATTCATGCAGGTCCTCAGTTGTGTGGCAACCAAGGCTGCAGGTGTTACAAAGGCTTTGACTAAGGGTGGTTGCCTTGGGTATCGGAAACACCTGCTGACGCTTAGAGAAAAGCGGGGTAGCGGTGGTATTGTTTCCGGTACTGAGGGAAGGCCCACCGGAACTTAGTAAAGGAGTTAGGAGCAGAGAACAGAGGCCTTCGGAGTATAAGTACTCAGGTTCATTCCCGCCCTTCAGTCCTGTTCTCTCCAGTCTTCATCAGAAAGAAAAACCAAGTTCTCATCGGTAGCAGAGCCCTTAAAGATTATTGAGTTCTAGCGATAGTATCTTAGAATAATCTGCAACCTGATTGTCTATCTTGCACGGCCGTCTTTATTCTATACAAATCTATTTCTCTTAGAAAGGACCCCCGTTACAGAGGGTAGGAAGAGGGATGTAGTGTGCCATTTTCGAAAAGCGGTCCACTATTACCCATATCTTTGTAAACCCACTAGATTCCGGTAATCCCACAATGAAGTCCATAGAGATGGAAGTCCATGGCCGATAGGGTATCTCCAATGGTTGGAGCATACCAAACTTCTTATGTTTGGAGGTCTTATTCCTCTGGCAGCTGTCACAGCTCCGGACATATTCCTCAACATCCTTATCCATGTTGGGCCAAAAGAAGTTGTTTTTCACCCGCTCAAGTGTCTTAAATTGGCCAAAGTGACCCGCCACCTTAGAGTCATGAGTATCGGACAGTATTTCCATCTGAAGCTTCTTGTCTTTGGGTATATACCATCTATTCTTGTAGAAGATGAGACCGTTTTTGACCGACAAGTTTTGGTCCAAATTTGGTTTCCTTTCAACCAGGGAGCGGTGCAATTCCTACCAGAAACTATCCTCTTTAGCGGCCGTGTATAGGCGCTCTAAGAATGTATTCTGCAATTGATTCACCCTGACAGCCGCTAGCTTTGCAGGATCCAAAACCAATTGACCTGGCCTAAAAAAGATCTGTGGCTCCGGCTGCAGAGTTTCACCTCCCTCTCCAAGGCGGTGATCCCAGTGCCTAGATAGCACATCAGTCTTGCCATTCTTTTCTCCCGGTCTGTAGACAACTTTAAAATTGTAGCCTGCGAGGTCTTCAGACCATCTAGCTTGCCGCCTAGTGAGAACCTTGGTAGAATTAAAATACTCCAAGTTCTTGAGGTCTGTAAAAACCGTGATCTCTTGCTCACAAGATTTGAGCATGTGTTCCCATTCCCGGAAAGAGGCTACAATAGCTCCCATTTCCTTATCATGAATGTCATAGCTGATCTCAGCAGGGGAGAACTTCTTAGAATAGAATGCCACCGGATGTAGCTTCCCATCATCCCCATACTGAGAGAGCACCGCTCCCTTGGCAAAATCACTGGCATCTGTCTCGACCACCGTTCTCCTACTAGGGTCAAAATGAAGGAGGATTGGAGCGCTTGTGAACAGCCTCTTGAGCTCTTCAAAGGCCTGCTCATGTGCTGCCGTCCAATACCATTTCTTGTCTTTTTGCAGGAGGTCAGTTAATGGTTTGCAAACTTTACTGAAGCCTTCAATAAAGCGGCGATAGAAGTTTGCAAATCCGAGGAATGCCTGTACTGCCTTGATATTCTCAGGGACCGGCCATTCCTTAACTGCCTCCACCTTGTCTTCTGACATAGATACTCCCTCTTCCGAGATGTGATAGCATAGGTATTCCACTTCTCGGACATGGAAGGATGTCTTACTGATCGAGGCACAGAGCTTAGCTTCCCTAAGCTTCTGTAGTACCTTCTTGACCAATAGCTCATGCTCTTTCTCAGTCTCTGGGTAGATGAGGATGTCATCAATATAGACAACTACTCCTTCATCCAGTAGTTCCTTTAGCACATCATTGATCATTGCCTGGAAAGCTGTTACGGGCATGCCAAGCATTTACGGGAGTGAGAGAAAAGCTAGTAGATACCCCAATACCCTTTGATACTAATGGCAACACCACTATCAACTCCGGTTCGCACCCACGAGGTGTGGTGCGATCGATATGCCACTCAATGCGGAGTTGCGGTTTTCCTAGTTAAAAAATACGTTTTCGACCCCAATAATAACCCCCGGAGCGTCAAACCGCCGGAGGGGAGTGTTTTGGTACCGGTGGATATATGAGGGACAGCTGGAATCAATCTGATCGAAGATCGGACCGCTTGGAGTGAATCGGCGCGAGCTGCCAGCCGACCGAGTACCTATCGGCGGTACCTGTGGGCATTGTAACGGCAGCCATACGTTTCGGTTATGCGAAGTGTCAGAGTAGGTAAAGGGAGGGTTGCGTAGTGTGTGTGGGATTTGTTAAGTGAGTTTCTTTCATGTTCTTTTTGTTTCCGTTACGCGAGAAGATGAGTCATCGAGGGTTGAGGTTTGGATATATAAAGGGGCGTTGTCTCGGCTTTCTTCTGTTCTCTTTTCTTTCCTTTCTTCTTTACGCAACCTCTGTATTTATTCCACGAATACTATTCTTTGTCCGCACTACGTCATAGGGCTCCAACCGGTTTATCATACCAGGTAGAGCCACCCCATAGCCCATAGTCAAAGTATACCTTTACGTCTACGTCCACGTCTACATCACTACCTAGGTTGTATTCCTTCGCACCACAGTCTATCGCCTATAGTCCCCGTGATACGTAGGTTGCGTCCTCTATCGCCAACCAATACAACACCATAGTTTACAATGTCGGAACATGTCCATGTCGATTATCAACAACTCAACGATAACCTCCAAAGATTTTTTGAAGCGCATCCACAGGTCGATCACGTTGTTGGAGCTGAAGCTTATGCGCTTCTTCAACAGTGTCAAAATGGTCTTATTCAATATGCAACGGATTTACAGGAGGTAGAAGCGGAGGCTGAGAGGGCAAGAAGGATGTTTGAACGAGATCTTACTGCTGCCCGAGCTCAACGAACTGCTGTTGAGGTTGTGGCCCCTGACGAAGAACCTATTGGAAACAATGCTCCACCTGTACCCCCAGCACCACCAGTTACAGGTACCACCTATCGGTCGGAGAAACTCCCAGACCCCGACGTGTTCAGAGGGGATCGTGATCGAGAAAGGTTACATTTATTCAAACAACAAATGAAAATTAAACTACTAGGAAACATCGATCGCTATCCCACACTACAGTCTAAACTATCATATGCGTTCAGCAGATTGGAAGGCGCTGCTGCCAATCAGTTCTTACAGTACATGGGAGAAGAAGGTATTGCCTTACCTTCTATGACATGGTTTTATGATATTCTGGATACAGCTTTTGGAGACCCCGATCGAATGCGTACAGTTAGAAGAAATCTTCGGAACATCAGACAACGTACTCGAACCTTTGCCGATTATTTCGCTGAGTTTCAACGGTATGCTGCCGAGTCGGGTATGGATGAAGTCTCTCGGATTGAGGCTTTGATGGAAGGAATTAATGGGGAACTGGACGAATCGATGATACACCATGAGACTCCTGCAATGGTAGATGGTTGTGCAACACTCTTGCAACGATTGGATAACCGACGACGGGCGGCGGAAGCTAAGCGAGGTAGTAAAAAACCTTGGACTACTACTGCGGCCCCGGCTCCGCGTCCCCCACCAACAAATCCTGTTCCTGCTCCCCGTCCTGCTGCCCCTGCTATGTAACGGGGACTATGGGCGTAGGAACTATGAAGCCAAGGAATACAACCGAGGCGAAGACGTGGACGTAGGAGGTTCGTGGACTATGGACTATGGGGCCGAAGGGTACACCTAAGGCAAGAACGTGGACTGTGGACTATGGATGGTTGTACCTGGTCTAGTATACCGGGTAAACCCTATGACGTAGCGCGAACCAAATAGTATTCGTGGCTGTGAAGTACAGAGGTTGCATAAAGAGAAAAGAGAAAGAAAGAGAAACAAGAAATCACGAGACAACGCCCCCCTTATATATCCATACCCTATCCCAATGCTGACTCATACCCTCGCATAACAGAAACAGAAAGAACATAATAGAAACTCACTTCGCTAAACCCAACCACACTACATAATCCTTCTCCCTTGTACCCAGACAACTCACATAGCCAATCCGCCTAGCTGCCATTACAGACCACTCCCCCCTCTACGGCCTACCTCCTGGTAGGCTTAGGCTTCCGTGGATATCGTTCGTGAAATCGTTTGACAATATCGGGCGAATGTTCGACATCCGACAATGGCTACCACGAAGCTTCGTCATAACCGGCATACTTAACCAAGTATTCAAATTTTCCTCGACGATCCCTGGAATCCAAAATATTCTCGACTTCCCACTCCTCCTGTCCTTCAACTTCGACCGGCGGTGGTGGTAACTGTTGTTGTCCTGGTAAAGGATCGTTTGCTGCAGACGACAATAAAGAGAGATGGAATACGGGATGAACTTTCATAGAACGAGGGAGTTCCAACTCATAGGTATAAGGATTAACGATCCGCTTCACGATATATGGTCCAATGCGTTTCCAATCGAGTTTCTTCGAAGGGCGTTTAGTGAGGACATGGCGTATTGATAAGAAAACTTTATCCCCCACACGATAGTGAGGTGCTGGAGTCCGACGTATATTGGCGGACTCTTCTTGAATCCTTTGCGCTCGAAATAATTCATCCTTTAAAAAATCCAATATATCCTTCATCTCCCTTGCAATACTATTGGCCTGATCCTCCGCTGTCGTCCTACCATGTTCCAAAGGACCAAAAGTCATTCTTGGATTCCTCCCTAAGTTGGCGTAAAATGGAGAGATTCTCGTCGTTTCAGAAGCATGGTTATTTGTTGCAAACTCGGCCATTGGCAACCATCGAACCCAGTCGTCCTGTTGATAAGAAACGTAACTTCGAAGGTATTGTTCCATCACAGCATTGATTCTTTCCGTTTGTCCATCCGTCTGGGGGTGAAACGCTGTAGAGAACTTTGGCGAGATTTCCAAACGATCGCAAAGGGACCTCCAGAATTCCGCAACAAATTGTGTTCCTCGATCAGATACCATAGTTTCAGGGAGTCCATGTAATTTCCAAACATTATCGATATACAACCTCGCTACTTCTTTTGAATCCGCCTCTTTAGTTGTAGGAATCAGATGTCACATCTTAGTTAGTCGATCCACTACCACCAATATCGCATTATATCCATCGCTTTCCGGAAGATCAGTGACGAAATCCATTGATACGTCCCTCCATGGTCCATCGGATATTGGCATAGGTCGAAGTACCCCATAAGGTGCATTGCGTGATGCCTTGCTACGGGCACACACATTGCAATTCCTAACGTACTGGTCGACATATTTTCGCATCTGTGGCCAGTAGTACTCTCGATTCAGGAGTTCCAAAGTCTTCGCTCTGCCTGGATGGCCTGCCGATGGTTTGTCATGATGTTCCTTTAGGAGCCTTAGCCGAAGATCGTTGTCATCCGGTACATAGAGTGCGCCACGATAAAGTAGCCGACCGTTATTGTCTTCCGTGCATTCGGCAAGCGAAATCTTATTCGAGTGACGGACGCCGTTCCGAAGCATTGCAAGTACTTTGTTCGGGAAACTGTCAACTTGGTAAGCATTTAAAAACAACTCTTCTACAGTGGACATTCCTTCAGCGGATTCATTTGAAAAAGAACCCGCGAACAAACTTAGCTTTGAATCCAAATTTTTTCGCTTCAAAACCACCTGGCTTTGATGCGTCAACCGTTCATCCCCCTCCTTAGGTAGGTCACCCGACCTCCTAGTCAATGCATCCGGCTTTGCCCCTTGTTTCCCTGGTCTAAATTGGATGACGAAATCGAAACGTGAAAGAAATTCCGACCAACGGGCTTGTCGACGGTTTAATAGCTTTGTTGACATGAAATATTCAAGGTTCCTATGATCGCTGAGGACTTCGATTGGGAATTGTAACGGGGGTCCTTTCTAAGAGAAATAGATTTGTATAGAATAGAGACGGCCGTGCAAGATAGACAATCAGGTTGCAGATTATTCAAAGATACTATCGCTAGAACTCAATAATCTTTAAGGGCTCTGCTACCGATAAGAACTTGGTTTTTCTTTTTGATGAAGACTGGAGAGAACAGGACTGAAGGGCGAGAATGAGCCTGAGTACTTATACTCCAAAGGCCTCTGTCCTCTGCTCCTAACTCCTTTACTAAGTTCCGGTGGGCCTTCCCTCAGTACCGGAAACAATACCACCGCTACCCCGCTTTTCCCTAAGCGTCAGCAGGTTTTTTCCGATACCCAAGGCAACCACCCTTAGTCAAAGCCTTTGTAACACCTGCAGCCTTGGTTGCCACACAACCGAAGACCTGCATGAATGAGCTACCGCTCAGGTGTAAGCTTAATCATTGCTGTAGAGCTTCCGCTTATTGTAGACTTCCCTAGCATAGTCCCTGCCCTTCGGCGGACTTACAATGCTCCGAGGATACAGTGGATCACCGGACAATCAGAGCTTCACTCTGGCCGGTCTTCTAGACACTGGCGAGGCATAGACTCGTCAGTCATTGCTCCCATGAATAGATCCCCTTCCTAGCGCCCGGAATGTAGTTACTCTAACAGCTGGTAGCTAACCACACTGCCGGTACTTGCATATCACCGTGCCACTGGCTTCTAACAATAACTCTCAGCATGTAACCGGGCCCTGTGTGTACTCATACACCAGACAGTTGAAATGGCTCCGTTACAGGAATTGTGCCCCCTCCAAATGATGTCGCCATTCCTCAAAACATCGTACAATTGCCAGAAGTTCTTTGTCATAGATTTCATAGTTGCATTCCGCAGGGGAATGCTTCTTTGAGAAGAAAGCAACTGCATGTAAAATTCCTTCATCATCACGTTGGGACAGGATTGCAGCAGAAACATAGTCGGATGCATCGGTTTCTATTACGATTTTCCGATCCGGATCGAAGTGCGCTAGGATGGGTGCTGTGGTGAACATCTTCTTCAATGTCTGGAATGCTCCCTCCCTTTCATCCGTCCATTCGAATTTGACATTCTTCTTTGTCAACGCTGTAAGGGGAGCAACAATTTTCGAATACCCCAAGATGAACCGTCGATAGAAATTCGCAAAACCCAAAAATACCTGAACATCATGAAGATTCCTTGGTATAGACCATTCTAAAACATCAACAACTTTCTTTGGGTCCATACTATTCCCATCAGGGGTGAGAATAAGGCCGAGATACTTTGTTTCCTGGACCATGAATTCACATTTTTCAGGCTTAAGGTGAACATGATTCTCATCAAGTACCTTCAAAACCTTCTGAATGTGTTCCTTGTGTTCCGACAGGGTTTCCGAATATATCAGGATATCATCCAGATATGCCGTTACGAATTGGTCAAGATAAGGTCGTAGGATATCATTGATCCAGTGCTGGAATGTGGCCGGAGCGTTGGCTAATCCAAATGGCATTACTGTGTACTCGAAATGTCCATAACGAGTCCTGAACGCCGTCTTCCATCCATCTCCCTTAGCTACCCTGATCTGATTATATCCCCAACGTAGATCCAACTTGGTGTAGTACTGTGCCCTTGACAGTTTGGCTAGAGTTTCCTTCAACAACGGTAACGGATAGCGATTCTTGATCGTGATTGCATTAAGGCCTCTATAATCCACACAAAGCCGAAGGGTCCCATCACCTTTCTTCACGAATAGTATGGGTGCTCCCGCTGGTGACTCACTGGCTCGAATGAATCCCTTAGGTAGATTTTCGTCAAGGTATTCTCGTAGTGCTTTCAATTCAACCTGGGATAATCCATATATCGGTCCGTACGGTGGTCGTTTACCTTCCTCCAATACGATCTCAATATCATGTGACGGCCGATGTGGTGGAAGGACTGATGCATCATATTCTTGGAACATATGGAGACGATGGTGGAACTCCTTTGGTATTAGTTGTTTGACGTCGACGGTGGATTTTTCAACTGCTGAAACGACAACAGTATGATGTTCTGGTAGAGGGATCGATATTCCATGGGCAGTGACTGTCGCTCCACTGAGTGAACAGTGTTGACAACAGCTTCGAGAGTCAAAAATAAGTAAATTTTCCTTCGGCCGAATCGTAACATCGTGACGTCGCATCCAAGGTATTCCCATCACAATTGGATTGTGTCCCAGCTTCGTTACAAAACATGATGCAGTTTCCCGATGACCATGGATATCCAGCGACACGTTGACAATATGGATGATCTTTCCTGATTCAATAGGCCTCCCATCCATAACATCTACCTGACGAGGTGCTTTAAGGCGGGTCATTGTAAGATTATTATGGCGTACAAAAGATTCGTCAATAAAAGCGTATCCAGAGGCTCCAGTATCAATAAGGGCATAGGTGGGTATAAAAGAGTCAGAATTCTGAGAAACCGAGCAGGTAACGACAAGAGGGTCTTCGGACATCTTGTCCTCAGACACGGCAGCAGCAGAAATAACAGAGACTGGTGGCGGCGCTAGCCCCTTTGGTTTGCCATTTTTTACCAAAGGGGCTGACCTTTTAGCGCCGGCTTTGGAGACACATGTTCAATTGGTCTTTCTCGCCAATTGCTGATGGTACGGGGATCTTTGGGACGAGGGGCGAGGTAGCGAGACTTGGAAACATGGCGAGATTGGGTTTTAACTTTAGCGGTAGAGACGGAGACACGGGAGCGAAGATCGGCAATGGTGGCATTGGCTTGAACTTCCCAGGCTTTTGCAACAGAAGTGATGTGAAGAATCTCATCTTCAACATCAGCGAGGTTCTCGTCGGCAATGGCGAGACTTTCCTGGTGTAGTGCCAGACGGAACCGAAGCTCTTCTTCTTCAGCCTTCGATTCCTCCAGCTCAATCTTCAAAGCAACGATAACCTCGTCGCGACCTCGGATGATCTCAGTAGAGTCTTCCTGGTTATCGCACAAGGTTTGCCAAAAATCGGCAGCCCTTTCGTTGGCTGCTTCTAGTTCTGTGGTGAGGCCGGCAATGACCTCTTCTTGAGCCGTGTCGATAATGGGTTCTAGTGGCGCGGAGGTGTCAAGAGGCTTGGTGAGAGCCTCCAAACACTCAGCAATAAGACCATGAGCCTCCGTAAGTTCTTCGCCGAAGTCTATATCGGCTGGGAGGGGACCATAGGTGGTCAGAAATACTGAAAGATGCTGCAACAGCGTATCCTGAGTGGTGTCGGACATAGTCGCGACCAGAGCTAAGCAAGGTGGTGTTGTATCGGTTGGCTGTAGAGGATGCAACCTAAGTGTAACGGGGACTATGGGTGTAGGAACTATGAAGCCAAGGAATACAACCGAGGCGAAGATGTAGACGTAAGGAGGTTCGTGGACTATGGACTATGGGGCCGAAGGGTACACCTAAGGCAAGAACGGGGACTGTGGACTATGGATGGTTGTACCTGGTCTAGTATACCGGGTAAACCCTATGACGTAGCGCGAACCAAATAGTATTCGTGGCTGTGAAGTACAGAGGTTGCATAAAGAGAAAAGAGAAAGAAAGAGAAACAAGAAATCACGAGACAACGCCCCCCTTATATATCCATACCCTATCCCAATGCTGACTCATACCCTCGCATAACAGAAACAGAAAGAACATAATAGAAACTCACTTCGCTAAACCCAACCACACTACATAATCCTTCTCCCTTGTACCCAGACAACTCACATAGCCAATCCGCCTAGCTGCCATTACATGCTACCAACCCACCTGCCACTGAGAATCACCCCTCGTTCCGTCCTGGAGGTGATGTACCCATGGATCTGTCTGGAGGACGTCGTCGCCCTACCCCTGCCGAAAGAAACGCCCGCTTAGTTGAGGGCCGATGTTTCTATTGCGGAGGTGTTGGACATATGGTTAGAGATTGCCCCCAAGCGAGGGCGACAGGAAACCAACCAAGGAGGCCTGTAATGAGAGGAGCGGCGTTGACGGTAGAAGAAAATGGCGGAAACGATAACGAGTCGGCAAAAGATTTGTCCCTGCACTAAGTGGCTTAGCCCAGGGACCATTTAAGGATTTTTCTAGGATGTGTATTTCTGGTTTTTCGGTATCAGAGGAGGAAATGGATGGAAATCAACTTGTAGTAACTTGTTCGATTTCACAGAATAAAAATTCTTTCGTACCTACCTACGCCCTTATTGATACCGGAGCATCAGGATATGCTTTTATTGATGAATCTTTTGCACGCCACAACAATCTTATAATGACCCCCCTCAAAATACCCCGCCATGTAGACGTTATAGATGGAAGGCCTATTAAGTCAGGAAAAATTACCCACATTGTCGATGTCTCGCTAGACATTCATGGTCATCGGGAAGTTGCGCCTTGTTTTGTAACGAAGTTAGGACATTATCCGATTGTGATGGGGATACCTTGGATGCGACGACATGATGTTACGACTCGACCAAAAGAAAATCTACTTGTTTTCGACTCTCGAAACTGTTGTCAACACTGTTCACTCAGTGGAACTGCAGTAATTGTTCACGGTATCTCAATCCCCTTACCAGAACACCATACGGTCATCGTTTCAGCAACTGAAAAGTCCACTGTCGACATTGAACAACTAGTACCGAAAGAGTTTTACCATCGTCTCCATATGTTTAAAGAATACGATGCTTCAATTCTCCCACCACATCGACCATCCCATGACATCGAGATAGTACTGGAAGAAGGCAAACGACCACCATATGGACCTATATATGGATTATCTCAAATTGAATTAAAAGCACTACGAGAATATCTTGATGAAAATTTACCCAAAGGATTTATTCGAGCCAGTGAATCACCAGCGGGAGCACCCATACTGTTTGTAAAGAAAAGCGATGGAACCCTTCGACTCTGTGTTGACTATCGAGGCCTAAATGCGATTACAATCAAAAATCGATATCCATTACCATTGTTGAAAGAAACCCTGGCTAAGTTGTCAAGAGCACAATACTATACTAAGTTGGATTTACGATGGGGATATAATCAAATTAGGATAGCGGAGGGAGATGAATGGAAAACAGCATTCCGTACTCGATATGGACATTTTGAATATACAGTAGCTGTTACGGGCATGTCAAGCATTTACGGGAGTGAGAGAAAAGGCCAGTAGATACCCCAATACCCTCTGTACGCTAATATCAACTCTTGACCACACTCGCGGAGTGTGGTGCGACCAAATTACGACCAAAAACCCAGAGTCATAAAAAACACGTTTTCGACCCCAATAATAACCCCCGGAGCGTCAAACCGCCGGAGGGGAGTGTTTTGGTACCGATGGATATATGAGGGACAGCTGGAATCAATCGGATCGAAGATCGGACCGCTCGGAGCGAATCGGCGCAAGCTGCCAGCCGACCGAGTACCTATCGGCGGTACCTGTGGGCATGAGAGGACTCTGCTATGTGGGAAAGCGATGTGGGAAGAGGCCTGAGTAGGTAGCCTTGCCGTCCGAGACCTCCGAATAGCCGACGCTGACGATTATCCACCAGACGGCCGATAGAGAAGAAACATCGACAGGGAAACGTGCATTAGAGTGGATAAATAGGTTGAGGGGTTTTAGCGGATTTAGGAGTTTGGGTTACGGACTTAGGAGTTAAATGTTCTTGGTTGTTTTTCAGGGTCTCGGGCATGCCCTGAGTGTATTCTGTATTATTAGTAGATTGGGTCCTCGAGACATAAGCGAGGGATATAAATACTGTGTCATTCACTGACTAGCCAAACCATCATCGGCGAAATCAGAGTCTTAACAATATAAATCGTTGATACGCGAGTTACAACTTTATTTTGACTATACTTTTGGAATTACTCTACTCTATCGTGACTTCGAACTCTACCTGAACTATTACGTCGAAGACGGTCGAATTCTATACGCTAACTCTAGTGAATCTTTGTTGATAACGTAGCTCGCGGGGCCCGTATCGGATCAAGGAGAATCATACTCGACGTTGACTGAAGAGACCTTGGAGACTTCTACCTTCGTAGTTGTTAGCCGAACTCTGAGCTCTGCGTAGTGTACTCTTGTGGTCTGGTACGCATCCCTCACAGTATATTGTTACTCACAAGTTCACTTGGAGTAACGAAGTCACCTCGAAAAGAAGAACTATCATCATTATCCCCTATTACAATGACTGCCCGAAGGGATAATTATTTCATAGATACCTCGGCCGCAACCGAGGAGGCCGGGGGGGAAGATTCTATGGTCATATCGAGGGCTGCTAGCCCAGACCCCCTACTTACGGGAGGACCCTCTACAACAACTAGGCAATCGAGTAAACGCTCTGCTCAAGCCCAGTTTGTGAGGAATATGCAGGAGTGTTTGGATACCCATGAGGCACAAATGAGGTATCTTGGTGCAGCTGGACAGGCCGTTTGGCAGCAGCTACAAAATCTCCAGGAGCAAGTCCAAGGGAGTGGACAAATCCTGGATAAGAAAGTACGGCAAGAAGCCATTGCCCAAAAACAACATCTCGAGTCGCTCTTTGAGCTCGTCACCCATGTCCAACAAATGCAAGAAACCACACGAGCCGCCGACCACGAGGTTCTGGACCGTAACCATCGGATTACCCAGAACCAGCTGTTGGAAGCGGAGCGACAGCTGAGGATGGTACGAGAAGAGCGGGAGCAGGAGAAAGGGGAACAACGGGCTATGTTTGCGCAATTCAAGCAGTCCGATGAGATAAGAAACCAACGGATAGCCGAGATGGAGGAACTACTGCGACAACACCTGTCAGTAGCACCTTCCGTGGCTAGTGCTCCCTTAGACCCCAACGCGCCCCGAACGGTTCCTGTTGGCAATGGCAAGAAACCCGAAAATGCTGGCCCAGGAGGAGGAAATGCTGGTCCCGTAGGAGGAAATGGGGGCAGGCGACCGGGGGATGCCGGCCCAGTGCATGGCAATAATGGCGGAGGACCGGTGGAAGCTGCTCCAGTTGGTGGGAATGGTGGGAATCAACCTCCACAAAAACCACCAAGAGGAAACGTTGGGGGAGATCCAGAACCTTCCGACGATGATGATGACGATAACAGTGAATGGTCGCACGGTCGGAAGAATTGGAGAATGAACCGAGGCGGGAACCGGAATTCGGCGCCGCCTGAGGATGAGGGTATGGTAGATTCACTCGCCAAAATACCCTTCGAGTTCGATAATGCCAGAAAGCATAACCTGCGGCATTGGCTCATGGAGTGCGAGATCTATTTTGAGCAGAAGCCGAAGAAGTTCCGAACGGACAGGAACAAAGTACTGTTCGCTGGAACGTATACGTGTGGGTTGGCGAAGGAATGGTTTATGGAGTACATCGAGACCAAGATGCTAGGTCCAGCAGCTGCAGACTACGCTACTTGGACCCGGTTCCGTCAGGAAATCAGGAAACGTTTCTTAAGCACTCAGGAGGCTATGGAGAACGCGATGAAGATGCAGCAGTTTAAGTACTCTGCTAACATCGGAGACTACCTGACGAGAATGGAGATCATGAACCAGCATGCTCAGATGAAAGGAGCATCCTATCGCGCCGCCCTGCTCCAAGGACTACCAAATGAAATCCGGGAGCGCCACTCACGCTTCGATCCAACCGATGACGACTCCGAGTACATCCAACAGTTGGAACGAGCCGGCAAGGCTCATGAGGCTTATCAAGAGCAGATGAAGATGTTGGGGAAAGCGGAGTCAAGAGGAAGGGAGACGAATAATGGTGGGAACTCGCGGCAAAAGGAAAAGGGGTTTAAGATCAAGGGGAGGGCTCAGACTGAGGAGAAAGAAAAAGGGCAAGATAAGAAAAGCACCAGCAAGAACAAGTCGGGGAACAAGCCAATATACCACGACTACGACGAAGCCACCAAAGGAGTTCCACAGCCGGTCCGAGAACAGCGAAAGACCGATGGAGCCTGTGTGCGATGTGGCCGAAAGGGTCATCTTTGGAAATGGTGTCGTTCAGATGCTAACAGCAGTGCATCTATCTCCTCTTTCTCCCGAAAGCATACCCGCGATGACGATGGCGACCACGATATGGAACCACCGGAACCCCAACCTCAGAGAAAGCGAATGAGGCACCGTGCTAAGAAGCCGGCTGCGACGGCTGCTGCGGAGTACACCAGTGGACAAGCGTTTGTGCGAGAACGCGGATGTTACGGGCATGCCAAGTATTTACGGGAGTAAGAGAAAAGGTTAATTAGATACCCCAATACCCTCTGTATGCTAATGTCAACTCCGGTTCGCACCCACGAGGTGCGGTGCGATCGATATGCAACCAAATGCGGAGTTGCGGTTTTCCTAGTTAAAAAACACGTTTTCGACCCCAATAATAACCCCCGGAGCGTCAAACCGCCGGAGGGGAGTGTTTTGGTACCGGTGGATATATGAGGGACAGCTGGAATCAATCGGATCGAAGATCGGACTGCTCGGAGCGAATCGGCGCAAGCTGCCAGCCGACCGAGTACCTGTCGGCGGTACCTGTGGGCATGAGAGGACTCTGCTATGTGGGAAAGCGATGTGGGAAGAGGCCTGAGTAGGTAGCCTTGCCGTCCAAGACCTCCGAATAGCCGACGCTGACGATTATCCACCAGACGGCCGATGGAGAAAAGACATCGACAGGGAAATGTGCATTAGAGTGGATAAATAGGTTGAGGGGTTTCAGTGGCTTTAGGAGTTTGGGTTACGGACTTAGGAGTTAAATGTTCTTGGTTGTTTTTCAGGGTCTCGGGCATGCCCCGAGTGTATTCTGTATTATTAGTAGACTGGGTCCTCGAGACATAAGCGAGGGATATAAATACTGTGTCATTCACTGACTAGCCAAACCATTATCGGCGAAATCAGAGTCTTAACAATATAAATCGTTGATACGCGAGTTACAACTTTATTTGACTATACTTTCTGAATTACTTTACTCTATCGTGACTTCGAACTCTACCTGAACTATTACGTCGAAGACGGTCGAACATCACACGCTAACTCTAGTGAATCTTTGTTGATAACGTAGCTCGCGGGGCCCGTATCGGATCAAGGAGA